TCGTTCGTTTCTATTTCGATATCCGATACTTTGTTGGTTCTTCTTCCGGTGAGGTAACGCAGAAACTAAAAACAGAAACGATTTAAGTACTTGAATGAAAACAACTAGAGTTAACAGACTAATTATCCTCCGGTTTAGAAGAATTTATGAGATGTCATTTTCATGCTTATCAGACGTTTACTCGTCCCTGCTTTTGATTGCCATAAATAAAGGCAAATTTTTGTCTCTGAGCCAGTAAAGTGAGTATGACTTTAATCTGTTTAAGTAAACCCCTTAAGTATGAATGCATTAATACTTTCTGGAGATTAATTTTCAATTTTTTTACAGAGCTATTTCCCTCAGCCAATGGCATGTTTCTGACCTTCCATAATCGTATTCGTGTCACTGCAGATCGCTTGAACCCATTATGATTTCAGCTCATTTCTCATGTTCGTCTCTGATCTATGTATTGCTTGCTTCTTCTATAATCACTTTCCAATCATCTCTGCCGACTCTCTTTTAACTTTTTAAAACAAACGTGACTCAAACACGCTTCCTCGTACTTCTTCTTTACGATTTCTCCATTGAAAGCAATCAAAATCTGTTTCAATGCAACGATATCAGTAAAAATGAACGAATATAATCGTGAATTTATGAAGGTAGTAGGAATGTAGCAATTTCGATATTGTCCTTGCATCGATTTGAGGCTGTGGCAATTTTACTTTAGCAAACGATGATTTTCTTCATAACATCATATCTTTTCCTTTGTATGATTTGTATGTTTCCTCCTGCTTGCTCATCAGTTTTCCTAGTCTATTTCTGACGGAATATGGTCTCATGAAATAGAATTCGTAATTGTTTTCTTTTGAGCTGTTTACGGAAGATGGAGTCAGCTGATTCGTCCAGACCCTTGCTTGGATTGTCTCTCTTTCTGACTGATCTGTTTTGAAGGCATAAGCAACAGTTTTCACCGGTTACCAAAGCTTTACTAGTCAGACGCTTCAAGGCTAGCGACAAATGGTCACAGTTATCGTAACGATTCAGGAACTTTCATTTACAAACTCACTTCCTGTCCTACGATCCTGTAACATCATATTTTCCTCATTTCCCCGAGACGGCGCAGCTGTAGAATTACGGTGCTTTACCCTTTCCTCGATATCGTAAACAACATATACTGTTGCATAAATATTAAATAAAATCATATAAAATTTTTCGCCAAAAGAACAGAATCAGATTTTTGAAGGAAACAGTTTGCCGCGGTACCAGACGAGTGTGGAGCAAAATTTGCTACTCAGATCAAAAACCAGCCCAGAATTATAGCTGAATCTTGTTGACCATTCTTTCGTAGGACCTTTTCCGAAATGGCCCTAATGGAAAGTTTTAAGGAGGATCATAGCACAACATTTTCACTCAACGTGTGAAAACGATACAGGTCAGTTAGTCGTCATCCAGTCAGAAGATGAAGTACATTTAAGTGAACTGGAAGCCGTGCGATTATGAAACCATTCATGGAAATCCTGGATGTAACGATCAATAAGTTCTAAACAATAAAAGACTATGTCTGTATCAGGCCGACCAAAGTAGTGGTCCAAGTGGCAGCTTCTCTCTCTTAGGATCAATCAAACATCGCAAGATGAAAAGAACGACTGACCTTCGGTAAGATCTAGCCGGTCACCTGCAAAGAATGTACGAGGATCTTGTGCTTGGCAGCTTTGAAAATCACTGTTGAAGCATTGGTAAGCAAATACGTTGGGTCGGTTAGAATGAAACGGTTATCTTTATTAGGCATGTGTTTAGGATGGACCCAAACTTGTCAGTAACCCAGTTACGGAGTCAGAAAAGTTGTTTCAGGAGGTTCTGGAAGCGAACCAATATCTTTCTCCAGAGACTGTAGGGGTAGACCTGTGCAGTGAAGAGGAAGAGGGATAGAATGCACTAACTGTTGAATCCTTTCTGCGCTTCTGAACGAACACCGAAACCGACTGCTACACCGTGCCAACTATCTCATTCATCTGTTGTTCCCAGGTAATGCTCGCATCCGAAATTACCCCTCCCCACCACTTATTTTAGCATGGAGTTTCTCTTATGAAGCTGCTGCGGAACTGCGGAACTGCGGAGTTGGTACAGCCAGCGTATCACCGACGGGACATAGTCGGCAATGATCGCCAACTGCTATCCTCGCGGGTGGATCAGACTGCTTTCTGTCCCAGTACTACGGTGGGAAGATTATATCAGGATCTGGGAATGCCGCGCTTTGAGGGAAAAGGCTCGAAAAATGGTGGGCCTCTCGCAGCCTTCCGGCCGATCCAAATGATTTAACGCAAATAAACGAGGGGAAAGTGTTAATTTCAGCATTATATCGCTTCTGAACCACTCCACTCCTGCGATGATCGGTCATCGCCCCACCCGAAGGCTGATACCAGCTGCCCATCTGGCACCGGGCATCACTGATGGCGAATAAATAGTTAATTTTATATCTGTATTTGAGGCAATGTCTTTTGCATCAGCGACTTCCGGGTAAGCTGTAAACCAGAAGAAACGTGTCACATGATCCAAAAATGTAGAGAAAGGAGTAGGAAAGGTACAACAACTGATCTTAAGCCTTAGGCTATGCTAGCCTCAGACGACCATGAGCACAACCAAAGCCACGGAGCTCAGTACAGACACACGGTGAGCTCTTTGATTTTGTCCATCTATACGATGGCGCCGAGAGGTGGTGTTTATGAAAAACCTCGATTTACCATAATCAACGTTAATCGTGAAAACGTCGAAAATTCAACTTTCCTCATAATCGAATTACGACGTTTTTCTTCATGGGAAAACTAGACGTTTCGTTTCCAAGAACTAATTAATTATTTAATTAAGTATGTTCTGGTGACCGTAGAGGCGATACGGACAAATATCACTGAAGTTCATGTGAATTATTAATGCATCAGATTGAGCTGAACTATGTTTATTAATGACGTCAGCGAATTTCCTTGGCTTAAGGATCAATCAGACCAGCCATGATATAAAGACTTCTTACCTCTCGCAAGTTCGATCGTTCGATTCGCATCTCGTTGCGCTTGAGGGCACAAGTGACAATGACAAGTCATCGTCATCTGGTCAACACGTCGTTATCGATTATCTGTCAGTCGCGTAATTGCCTTTCATGATAAATAGGAAATGAGTCGAACAATCGAAGTGAATAATGTCGTTTATCCCTGCCGCAAATATCTTTATGCAAAGTGCGAACTATACCGTGAAAGCTGCGACTGGATTTTGCTACCAGCCATGCCTCTTAATATCATATTCCTCAACATCGTACCAGTCAGAACTAAAAAGCCGCGTTGGCTGGGACTTCTAAATTTACAAATTATTAATTTACAATTTTTAATTTACTAGAACTCAAAATGGTCGAAATACAACCCCGATGTTTTGGGGTTGCTGGATAGAATGGAAGCATTCCAGTTCGCCGTTGTCGGTCCCAAGCTCGAGTACGAAAGGAAGAGATTTTGGGACGGTGGCGATGTCTACTGTAAAACAGGCACATGGACTGTCCTTCTGGAGTTCATTGC